CTTACACAGTACATTCCAATGTTAATAAAAGCACACATTACGCTTTCTGGGAGATTGATTTATTTTTAAATGAACACTAATACAAAATTAAAACCTATAATTGCACACTAAAACCATTATTTCAAAAAAAGAACTATTTCACATAAACCTCTGTTTTTTACTGGCAGTTCAACTTGATAGGCGTAGTTCTGATAGTATAAGACAATAAGATGTACTTAGTTGATTGTTATGAAAAAGAAATGTCATTTCACATTTTTTTTTCTCCCCACTTTTCGGCGCCCCCGATGGGTTGATGCGCCCTTAGCATTCGCCTATACTGCCTATGCCAAGGGCCGGCCCTGAGCAACCATGATATATGATTACATTATCATTATTAGTTTTATTGGTATTCATTTTCATGAATTCAAGGGTAATATCCAAACTTGCTTTTACACAATGAAAACACTTTTTATCGTCATGAATCTCATTGCCCTTTTCCATTTTGTCAGGTAATTTTGAACAAGCAAACGAGGAACTGAGGGCAATTATCAAGAAGATCTGGAAGCGCACCAGTATGAAACTTCTGGACCAAGTCATCCCACCTATAGGAGGTCAACTTTTATGATAAATTAAATGAACTTTAGTTTTCTCAAGAAAGCATTGGTCCGAATAAATTGTGCTAGGTCTTACATATTGTAGTAGTTTTGCTAGTTCAAAGTGTTTCAGCAAAGTTAAAGCCTTTTGTAAGATTTCCTCACCAACTTCATTCCAACATTGCCAGCAAAAGTTCTAAATTATGTGATCGTTTTTTTATTCATTCATTTATTTAACATTGCACATTAATCAACATTTCTGTAAATGTGCCAGTTAGCCAAGAGGCTATTTTTCATCTGTAGTCCCTGGATAGATTTTGTAAGTCAACTTAAAGACAAGAGATCTGATCTCCACTAAGATAACCACAGCTGTGAATGTTTGTGTGGTGTCATGTGTTCACATGTTACAAGCATATATTGGGCAAATATAAGTGCACATCATTCACTTTCAGTTGAAATACTTTCATTTTGAGACATCTTCATGGCCCCATGCATTCATAAATGTCTGTCTTGTAGCTTCTTTCCATTGACTTTAAATGTGCCATATGCTTCCTGTCTGGGGTGTTCACAAAGGGCCACTGTGGGATTAAAACGCTTTAAACTGAATGGATTTAATGGCATTTCCAGTTTACATGGATTTTGTATTTGAGCAGATGATGAGGTGACAGTGGGAAAGTTCTACGCCACCTTCCTGATCCAGGATTATTTCAGGAAAATGAAGAAGAGACAGGAAGAGTACTATGGGTGCCAGCCCACCAAGAAAAGTGCTTCTTCTGGGATACAGGTTAGTATTAATGCCATGGGATGTCTAGTGAATGGTTTGATTATTCTTTGATAGATTTTTACTACACCTTTAATTCATGTAAATGCAACACACAACAGTGAGTAAGGATAATGGTTCCAGCATATGTATGTTTTCTTTGAGTGTGTAGTACATGATTGTGAGTGCTCTTTGAGTGTGTCGGACATGATTGTACTGTAAACATACTTACTGTTCATTAAATGTGCATATAAGTAATGTTCAAGTGTGAAATTGCATGAGTTGCATGAGGATAGGCCCATTCAAATAAACGTTCCACTCCTTCCCCATTCACTGTGGACTTGACCTCTCTCTGTATGTGGACTATTTCTTTTTTGCCTAAACTTTTTTAAGGTCATCTTACATTTTGCCACTTATTGTTCTTTAAAAATAAAAAAATTGTGTCTAACAGGAATATTATTTGGGTACTTTACTTACAAAAATGTATAGGATCCTTTGAAAAATATGATTTGTATTAACAGTGTACTCAGCAGTCACTCGCTTAAAGGTTCACCTTCGAATGGATGCACTTTTCTCCATATACTGAATATATTCTTAAGTTTCAAGGTTTGCTAAAATATACATCATGTTTGTGATGGTCCTAACAAAATGGTCTGGTTTTGAAATTATTTAAATGAACAATAAAAAGGCTCTAGGATTGCTCTTAGACAAAGAATCTGAAATATGGTAAACTAGGTGGTTATATCAGTTGATACCAAGGAGTCACTCAGCGTTGGAGCAGCAGTACTGAGCATGGCCTACAGCTGCAGAGCGCACAGTGAGGGGCAGCTTCTGGGTCTGTTGCCATCCGTACTGTAGTGCTTCCAGTTTTACTTCAAAAGTAAAACAAATATCAGGCAGGCCTTCTGTGTATGTCCCCGAGTTCCCCTCCCCTCAAAGGCCCCTCAGTCTGACGGATAGGTGCCATCTTTAAAGGATAAGCAAATGTAAAAAGACTGGAAAGACAAAGTAGAATCCACATGCTAAACAACTCAAATAAATATAAAGAAGAAGAGGGCATGTTTTATTTAACAGGGAATTTCAGGACCTAGTTTGGTCCTCTGCTCAAGACCCGCCCGCACTGCCATCCTGCAGATGATGGTCTGCACACACCCATTGGCTGGAATGACTTTGGTAGTAGTTTTCTTCAATACATATGTTTCTTTGTGTCCACCAGGCAGGGTTGAGGAACATAGAGGAGGAGGCGGCTCCAGAGCTCCATCGGGCCATCTCTGGAGACCTTGTGACTGAAGAGGAGATGGAGGGGGCTGCTGACGAAGAGGGCATATTCAGGGTAACAGGACAGGATGAAGGGATGACAGAACGAAGGATCAGCCTATTTCCAGAAAGAAAAAAGAAAAAGTTCGAGAAACACTGCGCTAGTGGATTGTCAAAGAAAAAAATGTCCATGCAAACGTTATTATTAATAATAATTTAAAAAATATATATTTAAAAAAAAAAAAAAAATTATAATTTTTTTTTTTTAATTTTCCATTTTTATTTTGTAATCATGGGTCGCGACCCCCACTTTGGGAACCCCTGATCTAAGAGATCTGATATGATACAGCCCATTGGACTTTAATAGTATGCTCCCTTGCAGAATTCAACATCACTCCACCCGACTGACATTTCGTTCCGACTCAATGTTTTATTTGAAAATCAAACACAAATCTTATGATAATAAATAGAGCCTCTGACACCACAAAACCAGGCCAGCCGTTAAAGGAAGAGCTACAGATCTTTAACCCTTAACCCGACCTAACAACAATTATAAATGCAAAATGTATTGTTTTCATCTATAATTCACTCACGCTTTTGCAGCTTTAGTTGGGTGACCAAGAGTAAGTCCTTGCAAATAAATACACAGGGGCATAATGCAAATATAAATGTTGCTGTCATCTGTAAATACTAGAAAGGTCAAATGTTTTTGTGTTCATTTGTATTGACATCATTTGACATATGTGTCAATTAAGAATATAGACCACAATAACTGTGCTCTCTTCTCTAAAACAGAGACATGGAAGTCTTTTTGGAACCTCAGACCCTTTCTCTGCAGAGAGCGAGGCAGCCAATGGCAGCCAGGCCACCAGCCAGCGGCCCCTGCAGAGGGCAGGGTTCAACAACAGTTTGAACATCACCAACGGCAACACAAGTCCCAGGTCTGTGTGCTCACACTTCTGTTTGTGTATGTAAACCGTTTGGTTTGCTGGATCCTTAACTGTAATGCATTCAAAGCACATGGCTTCTTGCTGCTCTGGAGAGACAACACAGTACAGTATTGGTGTTGTTAATAATGAACACAACATAACTTTTAACTTTATTTCACTCGCTGTTTCATTTACTGTGTGCCTTCCTCTCTGCAGTCACGTACTCCTTATGAGGATTTTGTTGACCACTGCCTGAAACTCAGTGCAACATTCTGATAATCTGCACCATAATTCTTCATGTCCTGGTCGCCTTGTGAAATAGTATTATAATAAAATATATGTGGTATAACAAATTGATGACACATTTGCAGGTTATTAGGTAAATAGTAAGTGTTGAAGTCGATGAGCATTAGTAACCTAATTGTAGCTAAATGAGACATTAGTTATCACTCCCAAAAGAAACTGTATTGTCCCAGATGTTTAAAACAATGTGCACAACATCACTGACTCACACCCTGTTGGAGGCCATGCTGTGTCATACTGTCTCTCTTTCTAATGTTTTGCGCTGTTCACACACAATGAGCACTGTCAGTGCTTGATGCTGCAGTTATATACATATATTGTGTTAATGTATTATCATCATGTAATGTTATTTTATGTTAGATTCTAATATTCTGAGATTATTTGACAGTTTTCCCTGTCTTTTTTCAGCCTTTATTAACATTAGATTAAAGATTTGTTTTTGGATCCTTGATCTTGGTCTGAGCGCTTCAGAGCCGTGGTGTCGGCAAAATGGAGCGGCAGGAGCTTCTCACCGGATGCAAAGGAGTGATGCAAGGAGCTGCCAGGCTTAGAACCAAGAAAGCTCCAGAGCTGACCGTTACCTTGTCATGCCGCACAACCCCGCCTGTTACAGAAAAAGCGTTCCTTGTCTTTTGAAAATCACCAGCATGGTGTAACTGCAAACACAACATTCACATATCACTTACACACTTCCAGCCATACACATCGAGCACAGGATCTCTCTCCTGCAGGAAGTATCAGTTCTAACCTTTTGTGTGCAAAATAGCAATAAAGAATTGAACAGTACATAACTGTATCTATTGTTTCACTATATCTTGTGGTGTTCACTTTGGAGTGTTCTAATCGTTTTAATGTTCTTACTGACATACACATTAGATAAAGTCGTCTAACATCCATCCCGTATCTCAACAGTTGCATGCCTTGAGCCCTTGTTCACTGTTACTATAGAGCACTTCCTGTTTTAATCACACACCCACCAGCCCCATATGGAATCTGCAGTGCAAAACCCAGAAAAATATTCATCCAAAAATGTCAATACAATGGAACAAAGTAGAAAAAACCATGAACATTATTTTTGAATATTTATAATTATTTATGTCATTTCTCACTATCACAGTATTTCAACAGCGTGACAGATTCCCATTAACATGGTTCTTGTATTGCTGGAACACTAACACTTGCGTCTATCTTTGAAAAATACAGGTGTTTGTTAGTGTGTGTTGAAAAGTTGGTCCACAGAATAAAATATATCCTAGAACATTCACTTACCACTGACATAACAAATACAAGTATTTCTGAGTAACCGGACATTTTCCAACCCCATGACAGTATCTATAACCTCCATCCCTCCTCAGAGCCTCCTGGCCTCTCCAGGCTCTTTATTTGGTTTCTGGCAGCTCTCAGTGGCTCCCTACAGGCAGGCGGAGCAGGCAGACGTAGGCCTGGGGAAATAGCTGGATGTTTAGGGGGTTGCCGTCCAGGCGGATATCCTCCAGGTTACGGCGGGTGAAGTGGCGATCATGGCTGTTACAGAAGGAGTCCTCGTACAGAGTCTGGATGTTGTTATTCTGATTGGGGCACATGAAAGATACAGTTTATGTTTTAAAACCGAGAGTATTAGCGTTCATCATTTGTGAAGGGTCTGCATTGAAGCTACATCATTCCCTAAAAAAATAAGAAACTATGTTTTGAGTTAAATGAAGTAAGTCTGCATAAGTTAGATTGCTGTCACAAAGTATTTTTCTAAAGAAAGTGCAAAGCAGATAATGCTATGCAAGTGATGCACTATCATGATCAACAAATACAGGTCATGTAAATGACGGTGCTCATTCAGCATTTTCCATCTTATGCCCTATCTTGATAAAGTGCTTTTATATTTCGAACTTTCCAATTTTTTAATTTAAAATCTTTGTAGTGTTCTGTAGTGCGTACAGAGAGGAGGTCAGAACCCTGACATCTTGGTGCCAGGATAACAACCTCCATCTCAACGTCAGCAAGACCAAAGAGCTGATTGTGGATTACAGGAAGCAGCAGAGAGAGGGACACGCCCCCATCGCCATCAATGGGACTACGTGGAGAGAGTCAGCAGCTTCAGGTTCCTCTGGGTCCACATCACTGAGGACCTGACATGGACTCTTCACTGAGGACCTGACATGGACTCTTCACACCACCACCATCACCGAAATCAGCTAGATATATTATATTGCATTGTTGTCATATCATATATCATGTAGTTGTGTATATGAACCTTTTGGATTTGTTCTCGGCTTAGTCAACATGTTTTCTTTATAAGATACTTTCCCCTTTGTGTGGCCATCTATTGTCTCAGTTTAATGGTTACTAGTTCTTTTGTTTGGATTTGGATTCCCATTTGGAATTTTTAGTTTTGTGTTGTTGTTGTTGTTTACTTATTCAGTTGTGTGACGTGGAAAATTAGGTATGACCTAAAGCAACGATCAATAAAACAGGTTAATGACAGAACGAACAAGAGGCCATTCATTTTTTTAACAGCAACAGACCCCAGCTCTGTGTCACAATTGTTTCCCAGAAATGTGTTGGGATAACAGTGTGATTGCAGAGCCATGTTAAGTTATCCTGGCATTCTGTAGCCAGGCTAGTTGTTGGTGAACTGGCAGTTTCTTTTTTTAAGTGATCTAGTTATTTATCACATCAATATTGAATTTACCGAAACCCAATTTCCCCCCGGGATAAATAAACTGTTCACATTCTGATTCTTAATTTCCCTTTAAAGGCAACAAAGAAAAAGAGGCATGACATGAATGTGCTTCTACCTGCAGGTGTAAAACTCTCAGACCCAGTGGTAGTGGTACAGGAATGTAATCCAGTTTATTGTCAGACAGATAGAGGAACTCCAGCTGGCTCATGTCCTGCAGGAAAAAGAAACACACAGAGGTCTCACAAGAGGGAGCAACACGCCCACGTGATATTGACTGACTACAATTCCTTGAATTTACCAAGTAGTGTCTTAATATGTTCCCTGTTTCCCAACATGTTATTATTGTTTCATTAAAAACAATTGCGACTGATCTGATTATAACCACGGTGTGTTACACCTCTCTTATACGCCACGCAGGAACGAGGAGGCAATACATTAAGAATAAAAACAGTTCTACAGTATCTTCCTTTGTGGATGCAGCTGTTGACTTGAACAACCAAACATACAGAATTATACATGCTTACATGATTATTACCAATTACAGATTTTTCTCTTTTGGTTATTTTCTAAATATATGCTTTTTAATTATTTTTAAACTCATCAGGGGCCTCACTTATAATGTTCAAGAGATGGCATACGGCAATTTCTAAGCAATGTTTTTAATTTATAAAATGCTAAATTGATCCAGATCCACAAAACAGTGGTACTACTACAACAAATAAACTAATCTTCATGTGTAAAATAGAATTTTTTAAGATGTATATGATATTTACCTTGAATCCCTCAGAATGTACCCCATTACTGATCAGACGGTTGTTGTGTACATCGATGTATTTCATGGTGATTGGCAGCTCAGGCATGCTCTGCAGGTTGTTATCAGCCAGCAGCAACTGGTGAAGCTGCGGCAGAGACAGAAACACATCCTCATCCATCCCTGAAATCTGGTTCCCTGTCAGATCAATGGACTGGAGTTGATCTATATCAAAAACAAAAAAATATCTTCAATCATACATCATTTATCTTAGAGTGTATGGTGGTTCAAATAATCAAAGTGATTCCTTACTGAGGTAGTTAAAGTCTGTGTTCTTGACATGTCGAATGTTGTTGAAGCGGCCATAAAAATGGGTGGTGTCTTTAGGAAGGAGTGGGATCTGATCCAGGCCTGTGTCATCACAGTACACACTCCCACCAATACACACACACAGCAAGCAGGTGGGCATACCTGCACATACAGAGTTTAGATTGTAATACCTGTGCACACACATCTAACCATATGCAGAAACACAACACAGCTCACACATTAATACTTGTATTTATTCTAACCTGTAGCTGTACACACAGTTGATGCTTTGACCTACCAACGCCAGTATCAGGGCCAAAGAGACCCGGTCCCTTGAAGTCCAGAGTGACGGGAGCTGGGGGCAGGGTCAGCTCCTCCTCATGGTACTCAGCTGTGGGCAGGCTTGCTGCAGAGGGGGGGTCTGGAGCTACGGTGCCCACCTCAATCTGTTCTCCATGGGCAGCAAGGAAGAGAGAGACCGTTGAAATACATTTGCATTTGAATGGTACAAATATATTATCTATTTTTGTATTTGTTTTATTATTTTAAGTACCATTGTTTTGGGGGATCAAATAGCAGACATATATTATAATACTGATAACTAGTTTTCATTATTGTAAAATTACATTACATTGCATTTAGCTGACGCTTTTATCCAAAGCGACTTACGTGCGTTCGACCAACAAAATACGAACTTGAAGAAAACAGAATCATATAAGTTCATCAGGTTTCATAGAGCTAAAACATTTCAAGTGCTATTCAACTTGCTTTAGATAAGCCAGCCCTTTATTAGTATATAAGTGCTTTGTTAGTAATTCTATTGCTCGCAGTGGAGCCGAAAGAGATGAGTTTTCAGTCTGCGTCGGAAGATGTGTAAGCTTTCTGCTGTCCTGATTTCAATGGGGAGCTCATTCCACCATTTTGGAGCCAGGATAGCAAACCCACGTGTTTTTGCTGATGGGAACTTGGGTTCCCCTCGCAGTGCGGGTGCAGCGAGCTGTTTGGCTGATGCAGAGCGGAGTGCACGCGTTGGGGTGTATGGTTTAACCATGTCCTAAATGTAGTTAGGGCCAGATCCATTCGCAGCATGGTACGCAAGTACCAGTGTCTTGAAGTGGATTCTAGCAGTTACTGGAAGCCAGTGAAGGGAGCGGAGGAGCGGCGTGGTGTGGGAGAATTTAGGAAGGTTGAAGACCAGACAAGCCGCTGCATTCTGGATGAGCTGCAGAGGTTGGATGGCACATGCAGGTAGACCAGCCAGGAGGGAGTTGCAGTAGTCTAGGCGTGAGATGACGAAAGCCTGGGCCAGAAGTTGCGTCGCTTTCTGGCTTAGGAGGGGACGTATCCTCCTGATGTTGTAAAAGTGTATCTGCTAGCACGCGGGCTATAGCAGCGATGTTGTGTGATCACAGTTGTGTGATTA